GACACAGCAGTGAAGGACTAGGGAGGAGAAGCTGACTGTTGGGTGCTCCCCAGATTCGCCAACCCAGGAGCGGGAGGAGCTGTTTATCCAGAAGCTGCGCCAGTGCTGTGTGCTCTTTGACTTCGTGTCAGACCCACTCAGTGACCTCAAATTCAAGGAGGTGAAGCGGGCAGGACTCAACGAAATGGTGGAGTACATCACCCATAGCCGCGATGTTGTCACCGAGGCCATTTACCCTGAGGCTGTCACCATGGTGGGCACAGGGAGAGGGGAGAGGAGGCAGGGCCGGGGGCCAGAGAAGCCTTTACGGAGCTCTCACCTGGGCCTTACCCCTCAGTTTTCAGTGAACCTCTTCCGGACGCTGCCACCTTCATCAAATCCCACTGGGGCTGAGTTTGACCCAGAGGAAGATGAGCCCACCCTGGAAGCTGCCTGGCCACACCTCCAGGTACCAGGGTGAGGGGGCAGGTTGGTCTGGCTGCAGGGAGTGGGGCACTCTGAGAGCTGCAGCAAGGGGGTCTCTCCCAGTCCTTGGGGAATACCCCCTCAGCGATGCTCCTTCCCCCCACAGCTCGTGTACGAGTTTTTCTTACGTTTCCTTGAGTCTCCTGATTTCCAGCCAAACATAGCCAAGAAGTACATTGACCAGAAGTTTGTCCTTGCTGTGAGTCCCTGAAGTTCTGTCCTTTCCCTCCTTCCAGTCCGTGAACTCTGGCCCCACGGCCCCTCAGTCTGGTCTCAACTGCTCTTTTTCCTTCTGCTGAATATATTGGGTTTCAGCTGTATCTGGTACAAGGGGCATATGGGGGCTTAGACAAACCTGCTCTGCCCTTAAGAAGCTTCCAGCATAATGGAAGGAAACAAAAGAGCAACATGGTTACCTCTTCCCCATGAATGGGGTCTGCAAACATGCTTCCCAGACCTCACCTTGGGTAGCGCAGTGTAATGGAATCACTCTGCTTTCCAGAGACTTGTCTCCACTCCCCATCTCCAGAAACCCTCTGGGCTTCCCCTGCCCAGGCCCCTGTCACCCCAGCCCTGGTGTTCCTGGGCTCCTGCCTCACTAGCCGCCTTTCCTCCCACCTGCTCCCAGCTCCTGGACCTGTTTGACAGTGAGGATCCTCGAGAGCGGGACTTCCTCAAGACCATCTTGCATCGCATCTATGGCAAGTTTTTGGGGCTCCGAGCTTATATCCGTAGGCAGATCAACCACATCTTCTACAGGTGAGGCAGGAGCCCAGGCTCAGGAGCAAAGCAAGCCTCCGCTAAGGTGGGGTGGGAGAAGGGAGGTAGGTGGGACTCTGCAGGAATGCTGGAGGGGCATCAGGGTTGTCAAGAGAGCCTTTTTTCTTCCCTCAGGTTCATCTATGAGACGGAGCATCACAATGGGATTGCGGAGCTCCTGGAGATCCTGGGCAGGTGAGGCGGGGTGGGGTGGAGGTGCAGACGGCTGAAAAATGAAAAGCTTGGGAGGATTGGTGCATTGCGCTTGGACCTGGCCCTTTGGTCCTAACAAACCGCCTTTAACTCTTAGCATCATCAATGGCTTTGCCTTGCCCCTTAAGGAAGAGCATAAGATGTTCCTCATCCGTGTCCTGCTTCCCCTTCACAAGGTCAAGTCCCTGAGTGTCTACCACCCTCAGGTGAGCTGCCTTCCTCCTGAGCATCTCTGACTCTGGCAGCAGAGAAGAGAGGGGAAGGGCAGGTATTCCAGCTGGGATGCGGGTGGGATAATTCCTCTCTGGACCTCCTCTTCCATTCTGGAGTCTTGTTTCTGTCATTGAGCTCTCTGAGACCTGGGCCTTGTACCTCACCTCCTTTCTGCCTCGCCCTTTTGCAGCTGGCATACTGCGTGGTACAATTCCTGGAGAAGGAGAGCAGTCTCACTGAGCCGGTAATTCCCCTTCTGGGCCCCAGGGTCCCACCTCTTCCTGGCAGCGGCACTGGCGAGTCTGTGCCTATCAAGCAGTGCCATAAGCAGGTGTTCAGGAGGGCTGTGGCCCAGCAGGTGACACGGTTCCCTCTCTGAAGAAGTAAAACCTATACACACCAAGGAAACAGATACAGGCCAGAGAAACATGAGCAGTTAGCTGAGGCCACCCAATCTGTGCTCACTGGGGTGGGGAAGAGAGGGCAGGAAGGCTTCCTGGAGAAGCAGGCAGTCGTTGAGTGAGCATTGTATCCCCATATCCCCACTTCTCACAGGTGATTGTAGGACTTCTCAAGTTCTGGCCGAAGACCCACAGCCCCAAGGAGGTGATGTTCCTGAATGAATTAGAGGAGATTCTGGATGTCATTGAACCTTCAGAGTTCAGCAAAGTGATGGAACCACTTTTCCGCCAGCTTGCCAAGTGTGTCTCCAGCCCCCATTTCCAGGTGAGACCTACACTCAGCATTTCCCAGCCCCTGCCTCCCAGAAATTGAGGGTCTTCAGCAAAGCGAGCCCTATCTCCACTGAATTCCACCTGTTCCCACCAGGTGGCAGAGCGTGCTCTCTATTACTGGAACAATGAGTATATCATGAGCTTGATAAGTGACAATGCTGCCCGAGTCCTCCCCATCATGTTCCCTGCACTCTACAGGAACTCCAAGAGCCACTGGAACAAGTAGGAGGCTTGGCGGGGAGCTGGGCAGTCGGGCTCTGGGTTTGGAGCCTGTGAGGGTGTGGAAGAACTAAAGAGCTAGTGGTCTCATCTGGTCACTCAGCAAGTGGGGCTGGTGCCCACTGCATATAGATAGGACCTTGTTGAGGGCCTGCCTGGGGAGAAAGGATCCCTGTGTGAGAGATCTCTGTGACAGCAAGCCCCAGAGCAGTGCCCTATATTACATCTCTGCTTGCGGTCAGATATCCTGCAGCTTTGGAGACTTAATTGCATGCTGTGAGAAGCTGATGTGATCTTCTTAGCATGTGCTGAATCCCAGCGTTGTAAAAAGGCTTTCCTGCTAAAAGCATGTGCAGTCCATCATGCTGCTAGGAGGCCATCAGTGTGGGCTGGAATGTAGGAAGTGGGGGGGTGGGGACGATGGACAGGCAGACCAGTATTTGTAAAGACCCTGAAATGCCAATCTCAAGTCACATGATTTGGCCAGAGAGATAAGCTTACACCGTACAGAGGTTTGTGGAATGGGAGCAGTAAACGAGAAGGCTCTTAGCAGAGACACCTTCTAGGAGAGAGCAGACTGGGGTCCTGGCACCAGGGGCAGGCTCTGGCCTCTACCTCATCTTTCTTCCTGGTGGCAGGACAATCCATGGACTCATCTATAATGCCCTGAAGCTGTTTATGGAGATGAATCAGAAGCTGTTTGATGACTGCACACAACAGTACAAGGCAGAGAAGCAGAAGTGAGTCTCTCTCCAATTGGGGGGCTTTCACCTTCGACCACCAGCCCCTCTTTGCTTCTCTCTCAAGCCCAACCCCAATCCTGTCTCTGCTCCCTCAGGGGCCGGTTCCGAATGAAGGAAAGGGAAGAGATGTGGCAAAAGATCGAGGAGCTGGCCCGACTTAATCCCCAGGTGAGGTTTTTATGCCACTGCCCTGAACTGAGGGGCCCATCTTGGGCTGTGGGAGGGTTCGTTTGAGGAACGTGAAGCACACAGGTTCACAGACTTCTGACATGGCTCTCACCATTTGTCCGTGCCTCTTTCCTTCTCAGTATCCCATGTTCCGAGCTCCTCCACCACTGCCTCCTGTGTACTCAATGGAGACAGAGACCCCCACGGCAGAGGACATCCAGCTTCTGAAGAGGACAGTGGAGACAGAGGCCGTGCAGGTGGGAGGGCACAGGGGGAGGGGGAGCAGAAATAAAAGACAGCTCTGGAAGGGAAAGGAGACAGGAGCAGCAGAGCCAAGGAATAAGGGAGGAAACAGAATTTGGTGGGAATTGGTCACCATTCCTCGACTTCTCTGTATCCACATACAGATGCTAAAGGACATCAAGAAGGAGAAAGTGTTGCTTCGGCGGAAGTCAGAGCTGCCCCAGGATGTGTACACCATCAAGGCACTGGAGGCACACAAGCGGGCGGAAGAGTTCCTAACTGCCAGCCAGGAGGCTCTCTGACCCCCTCACCTTCCCACCACAGGGCCACAGCCCACGCAGCCCTGGGACGCTGCCCTAGCCCTCCACCCTCTGCTCCCCACTGACTGACCTGGGGCAAGGCAGTGCCTCTCTAGCTACTCCAGGGAGGGGGATGCGGCACTGAAGCAGGGACACCCAGAGTGGTCCCTCTTCTCCCCAAAATGTGGTCATGCCTCCCTGTGGCTAGTAGACAGGCTGAGTACTGAGATGCTCAGTGCTCAGACAACTTGGGGGTGCCCATCCCCCTCCTGCTCCTAACCCCACAGCTACTTGAGGCTGCTCTGAGAAATACAGGAATACATATGCTCCTCTCCCCTTCCCTTCATCCTCATTTGAACTCCAGGGGTCTTTCTTTCCCTCCCTTCCCTGCAGAAGCATTTGGGAGCAGCAGGAGATTATTCTCACCAAAGTTATGCCAAGCCCCACTGGCCCCTGGAGAAGCTGGAGGGGAGCCAACCCCCAACAGCACAAATAGGCCCCCAGCCCCAGCACTGTGCAGGCTGATGGGGCTATATTATTTCCTCTTACCCCTGCCTGACCAAGACAACGTGGGAGGTCAAAAGGAGAAAAGCCTAGGTTATGGACAGTAGGTGATGAATACAGGGCCCAGATGGACCAAGAGAAGGGGGTGAATGAACACCCGACCTGTGCCCCCTCTTTGGTGAGCAGCAGCCCTGGGATCACAGACATGGAAGGGACCACCCTGTGGCTGACTGCTTTCCTGTGCTGTTGGTTCCCAAATCGAGGAGGAAGGAAGCAGGGAGCAGTGCCCCAAGCATGGCTCCCCTCAACACCTATTTATTTCTTTGTTTGTGCTGATGCTGGGCAGGCCCTCACTTGTCCCCTTCAGGCACGTTGGAGGGGCAAGGGGCTGAGGAGGGCCAGACCCAGGTTCCAGGGGCACAGGCAGTGCAGCTTTTGGCTGTGTACATAGGGTGCTTTATTCTCCACAGAGTGATACATGCTACGGTGGGTTGGGCTTGGGCCGATGTCCCCATATGTACAGAACTGAATAAAGTGGGTCTCTGAGAAGAGGTCTGATTCGCCTTGATGTGGAAAGGGAGGTGGGGAGGATGGAGATGAACAGTACAACCAGGGATGTGTTCAGTCCTGTGTTGGTTCTGGCCTGGAATGCAGGGAGATAAGGCAGCTCTCAGAGTGGTCACTTCCAGACTGGGGATGCCTGCCGGGCCTGGAGGGCCTTCTGTACCACATCTTCCCACTGGGCATCTGATATCTCCTGAGCCCAGGCAGGAACCCCTGGTGCAGGCAGGCTTACTCCAGCCATCGTCCTTTTCACCAGCTCTACGTGTTCTGAAATCATAGGCAGAGACCAGTTGGAGACAAAAAATGAGACCAGCTCCCCTCCCCACTCCTTGAAGTACCCAGAACCCTCCGGCTAGCAAGGTCACCAAATCCATCTTATTTTTAGGCAAGCCTGCGCATCCTCCAAGTCTAGCAGAAGAGCATTTCATCTGGATTTTGAAGTCTGCAAAATCTTCTACTACAAACTTGTTTTAGCAACAGAGTGTTCCTCTGTGACTTCCCTCCTCTGGCTCTGGCCAGGCCCTTTCCTCTGTAACTATTCCAGAATGAAAGAACGATCCCTTTTACCTGGGTCCATGGGAATAGAGCTGTGGTTGCTCAATGCTGTAGCTCCCTCCTCATCTTCACCCTCGCTCTCTAATGGTGGGTCTGGCAAATGAAGCCCGAGGGCCTGCAGAGACAGACAGAAGATAGGTCAAGGCCAGCCCTTCAGGGATCCCAGCTTCACCTGCTCAGGAACAATGCCACCTCCACCATACCTGGATCCGATCCTGGATATCAGCAACTACATCTTCTCCATCCCCCACTGGTGCCAGCTCCACCTCCTCTTGTTCAGGATCTTGGTTCAGGGGCTGGTAGGAGTAGCCAGCTGGGCCTGCCCCCGTTTCCTCCTGCTCTTCCTCAGGCTCCTCACTGCTCCAATCCCCGGTGCCTTCTGTAGGGCCCTGCTGTGGCCCTAGTTCCTCAGTCTGATTGGGGAAGATACGCTCAGGGCCCATGGTGTCTCCACCTAGAACAACTGCTGCCATCCGGGCAGGGGCTGCAAGAACAGGGAGGCATCAAGATAGGGATCAGATGAAATTAGGTCCATCTTCAGCTTCTCATCCAGTTCCTTGTGATCTCCTGCGTCCACAAAACATTTAAATGCCCCCCAAGCTTCCTGCATCCCACCCCACCCCACCCCACCCCAGCCTCTCTTGGGCCCTCAACCTCTTAAGTCGGCTCTTATTTCGAGCCGAGGCCCATCTGTCTTGCTCCGTCAATTCCTAAATAACAGCCCAGCCGGAGGCCATGCCACCTCCCAAAAGACGCTCCTTCCAGAAGCCCCTCCTCACCCCCGACTTGGGAACTCCAGATCACCAAAACAAGCTCCCGTAGACAGGGCGTACCCGCCCCCTTCTCCCCTTCCCAAGGGGTTCCCCTCTGTACCGCGTGACAAACGCCCTTCAGGCCCCAGGGCCTCCCCTCAAACGGGCCCGACTGCGGCGTCCCCCACCCGCCCCCACCGACCCTCAGCGCCGGTACCCCCTCGCGCCTCACCTGCTCCCAGCCCGCGCCCGAACCGCGCCTTCACTTCCGGCGGAGCAGGACGCGCGGGGGCGCCCCGCCCCGTGCCCCATGATTGACACGAGCGAGGACGCG